TATCGGCCCATTACCGGCATTTAGTATCGGCCCATTACCGGCATTTAGTATCGGCCCATTACCGGCATTTATTATTAGTAGTATAGTTATTCAAAAAAAAGAAGAAAATACTAAGAAAAAAAATAAAACACAAGTTTATATGTAATACTAGTATCTTAGTAGGTTTATTTTATAATTAGATAAACCTACACTATTAGTTTAACGTGAATTTATTCATCTGAAGTATAAAAACAGTAGCATAGTTATTTAAAAAGAAGAATAGAGTAATAAATGAATAAATAAAACACAAGTTTACATGTAATACTAGTAATAATGAAATTATATTAATCAAATCATTATCACAATATAATTGTATAATGCATTAATATATAATATATATTATATTCTACCATTTTCATATAATTTTTATATAATAATATTATATTATTATAATTATATGATTAAATTAATTAAGCAACTAACTATATATTTAATGTATATTTAAAAGCATAATATAAACTATATTCTAATAGAATGGGTTAGTGTAAATATTAAATTAATGAATTATATGAGAAAATAATTCTTTGGTTTTTTCCAAAAAAAAAAAAGAATATTTATATAAAACAATTAATTGTTGTTAAAACTTATTTGTTATACTCTCATGATTCAATAATCGTTCGTTTTATCGTATTGATATTCGTTTTTTCAATTGCAAAAGCTGTACTTTTTTGTTTCGGTTCTTACTTGTCAATGATTATTTATGTTATTTATATAATAAATGATTAAAGATCATTAATTTCTATTTCAGGTACGCGAATAATTTTATCGTTTGACATGTTTTTTGTTTTTGTTTTTGAAATTATTCGAAATCAGTGTAATCCTAAATTTCCACCAAGACCTTGTTCCTTTCTCCATTGAGCCAATCTTATGGCGTACCAATCCTATAAAATATGTTTTTATATTTTTTTTTATATATATTAGAAAATACATACATATATTTAAATATATATATATATATAAATATAATGTAAAAGTAATGTATATGTATAAAATATTATATGATTTTAATTGTAAATAATAATTTTATTAAAATGACCTGAACATCATCCTCGGATAGACCTGTTTCAGCTGCCAATAGAACAATATCACCTGTGTGAGGTGCCCTTGGCCATCTTTTAAATTGATCCTCAAGTACAGCTTCTTGATATTCCGTTAAACGTATCGTTCGTGGTAAAGTAGTTTTTTTTTGGAGTGAAAAATTTCGTGCACTATTATTGGTACTTCGTGGTACGAACTTTAATGTTCTTGCTATAAAATAACAAAAAAAAAAAAAAATATATATATATATATATATATGGTAATTATAAATCAATAATATTAATAAAATTAATTAATTTATTTTTTCTGTAAAACAAAAAATATCATCCAGCACAATAATTTTATATTATTTATTATATATATTATTAAATTTATAATAAATAAATAAAAAAAGAACAGAGTTCTTCAATGAGTAATATTATATTTTGTTTTTGTAAAAATAACATTTGTAATTGTTTAAAATTAAAAAAAAAATCCAATTTTATATTAACTGTAAATTTAAATAATCTTAAAATAATAATCTTCTTAAGTATTTTATGTTTTTTTTTTTTTTTTTTTTTTTTTTAATTTTATTCCAGAGGATTACATTTTTCCTTGAAAATTATAATATGCAGTGAGATTATTCTGTTTGTAAACCACAAATAGTATATCATTCTTTTGCTGAGTAGGATCACCTACGTAATATTTTTAATACTCTTATTCATGTCATAATAATAATAATAATAATAATAATAATAATAATAATAATAATAATAATAATCTCAGTAACTCGTTTTGCATTTTAAACGACATTCTTGCATTTTTCCAGGAATTACTCACTGTAATTATATAGTTCATTAAAAATGAAATTGCATAGTTTACTTTTTTTATTTCATAATAAGGAAAATTCTTTTATAATTGTATATAGTAACATGTTTAAAACCATAAAATAACACATATATATATATATATATATATAATGAATTAATATATATATTAGGTCGAGTCAACAATTGCAAAGAGTGCAAAAAAAAAAGAAAAAAACTCCATGAAAGGTGTCTTGCACTTATCAGTCGCAAAAACGCCATTGTTTGTCTCATGAAAAAAAAAACGGAAGTTATTTATGTGACTCGACCTAATATATTACAAAATTTGTATTAATTTTATTCTAAAAAAAAAATGTACATAATTATTATTTTGTTTTACCTGGTTTCACCGATTTACTTGCATCTTCCAAATTGATAGCAGTGGTACGATAATAAGCATAATTATTATTATCATTGTAATAATACGATGATTGCCACGTGTTACTTGGTGATGGTAACATTTTTTTTCTTTTTTTTTTTTTTTTCAAGAAATTATCTGAAATACAAAATATCACTTTATTACTAACTTTATAATTCTATTAATATATTAAAAAAAAAAAAAAAAAAAAAATGAAAGAAAAAATTAGAAAAAAAAATAAGACAAAAATAGTGTTTTAATTATATTTAAGTTATTAAATAAACTGATAATATTAATTATCGCAAATTTCATTTATGAAAGAAAAAAAATAGAAAAAATAACACTTTTTATTATCATYATCATTATCTCGTGAAGATATATATTAAGTTTTATATTACACGACAAAAAGAAATGAGATATTAATAATAGCATGACATTGACCTAAATAACGTTATCCTTGAGATTTGTTTTTTTTTTCTTTTTTTTTTGGACACGTATCAAAATTATTATTGCGCTGTTTTTAACGCTTACGCAATTCGACAAAATGACCTTTCATGATTTTAAATAATAATACGAGAGAGTGTTGTAGATTATTATTAATTTTTTCTTTCTTTTTTTTTTTTCTTTTTTTTTTTTCCTATATGGAGTAAAATTAAATATGTTAATCTATGCAAATGCGTGGGTTTACTAAATTACCTTGAAAAACGTGTTTGCAGAATATTACGATAATTAGTGATACGAGTACATTGATTATCTTTCAAGTAATATAAGAGTTGTACGATGAACTTGCCATTTTGTATATCAACTCTTTTATTTTTTTATATAATATATATTTTGTATATATATATAAATGTTACAAAATATTTTTTATATAACAAATATTTTTTTTTATTATAATAAATTATAATAAAATCCAGAGTTGTACGATAAACTTGCCATTTTGTATACCAACTCCTTTATTTATTTTTTTTTTATATATAATAATATATATAAATATTACAATATATATTTTAATATAAATTATATAAATATTTTTTTTATTATAATAAATATCATAAAATTCACCCCCCCCCCGTCCAAAAAAAAATTACAATAAATTTCAAAATTACAATTTCCTATATACGTTCATATTTATTGAAAATAAAATGATTACAAACGTAAAAGATGGTTGCCAAATTAATCGAAATAGAATTATATTAAAGATAAATGACAGTGACAAAACATTAATGTTATTTTGTATGTGTTTTCTTATTCCCCATAGTTAAGCGTAAGTTAAACGACATTGAGGTGAAATGTTTGAGGTCATGATTATAATATGAAACAACTCTATTGCATATTAAACTTGACCTACAGATCGAATAGCATGTTAAACAAGCATACTTGAATTCTTTCAACGAGGACACTATGATCATAGATTAAGAAAACTGTATACAACCTATCCGCCCGCGAGATACGAATATTAATTCAATAAAATCCCTCGACAACATTCATAAATACATTCATAAATACATTCATAAATACATTCATGCATAGATTTATAAATGGATATATATAAAAATCTATGTAAATATATATTTACATATAAATATAAGAATAATATTAAATTCAAATCTCAAAATTATCAAATTATAAATATAACTTTATTATTCCAAAAATAATAGGTTAGGTTTGTACATATTTTTATATATATATATATATATGTATTTAAATATATTTATATTAAAATAATTAATATATATATATATTCCAGTAATTTTTAATATTATTTAAATTATATATAAATATAAGAAAAATATAAAATTCAAATCTCTAAATTATAAAATTAAAAATATAACTTTATTCTTCTAAAAGTAATAGAGGTTAGGTTTGTACATATTTTATATATATATATATTAAAATAATTAATATATATTCTAGTAATTTTTAATATTATTTAAATTATATATAAAAATTAGAAAAATATAAAATTCAAATCTCTAAATTACAAAATCAAAAATATAACTTTATTGTCCCAAAAATAATAGGTTAGGTTTGTACATATTTTTATATATATATATATGTATTTAAATATATTTATATTAAAATAATTAATATATATTCTCGTAATTTTTAATATTATTTAAATTATATATAAATATAAGAAAAATATAAAATTCAAATCTCTAAATTATAAAATTAAAAATATAACTTTATTGTTCCAAAAATAATAGGTTAGATTTTCGTATGTATTTTTATATACATATGTATTTACATATATTTAAAATAACTAATATATTTTGTAATTGTCAATATTATTTAAATTACATATAAATATAAGAAAACTAATAAATTAAAATTTTACAATTATACAATTATAAATATAACTTTATTGTTCCAAAAATAATTGGTTAAATTCATACTTAAGTGAAAATATTGGGATCCCTAGCACTTGAATACGCTATCTGGTGGGTAAATTCAAAATTAGAGTAGATAGGTCGAATTGCTACTATGCCACGTAGGATCTCTAGCACTTGAATACGATATCTGGTGGCTAAATTCAAAATTAGAGTAGATAGGTCGAATTGCTACGTCACGTTGGATCTCTAGCACTTGAATACGATATCTGGTGGCTAAATTCAAAATTACAGTAGATAGGGTCGAATTGTTACATAAAATATAAGAAAGATATAGAAAATCTGAATATTTACAATGAAAAATGAGAATTTTTATTATTTTATTTTATTGTTCAAAAAATAATGGACTAGATTCTAAATCAGCGTATAACCATCTAACAAAACGTGGTGTACAATAAACAGGTAAATCTTCTTCAGAAAATTGTAGAAAATCAACAAGACTATTTTCTATATCCTCTTGATAAACAGATCCAACATATTTTTTTTCTATTAAATTACGATCCTGTTCTGATATCTAGAATTAAAAAACAAAAAAAAAAACATGGCACGTGTTATATCATATAACATTTTAATGGATGAATTGAAGATAATAAGCGTATCACATTTCAATGAGTCATATCAAATAAAACGATCGATTCGTTGTGTATTTAAAAAGAGTATCATCTCTCACCTCTTTTCCTTCAGATTTTAACAAAGCACCCACGCAATCTTCAATCAAGGAATCACCACCAGTAACATTCTGTTATGTGAAAATAATTTTTTGGGGTTTTTTTTCGAATAATTTTTTTAAGTATTTTTTCTTGTGAAAAATCATATATTACAATATTTATATTAATTAAAATTAAATTTTTATCTGATGTTATGGTTATGATGTTACAATGCATAAGGTGTTCAATTATTCAATAATTCAATTATTTCTTTTTATATAATATGAAATTATAATATTGAAAGTTTCTATTTATATGGGTGCAATAATTTTGTAAAAAAAAATGGTAATTTGTTATTTTTAAATAAATTATAAATTTTTTATATTAAAATATTTTATAATATTTTAAGTATACTATTGAAAGTTTGTATTAATTTTGTTAATATATTGTAAAAAATATATTTTATATTTAAACCATATTATATGGTAAATATTTTATATTATAAATACAATTAATTATATATTAATATATATTATTATATATTAATATTATTAATTATATATTAATTATATTTATAATATAAAATATTTACCATATAATTTGGTTTATAAATATAAAATAAAATACAATATAATAAATTAAATATAAAATATTATATATTAATTATATAAATATAATTAATTTTGTAAATATTTCATATTTAAAATAATATAATAATTATATATATATATATTATATAAAATAATAATATAATTTTATATTAAAAATAAATATTTTATATTTACTATAATTAATTATATTTTATCAATATATGGTTAAATATATTTTATATTTAAATAAATTTATTTTTATTAATATATTTATAAATATTTTATATTTTACCAATACATATATGGTAAAATATATTTTATATTTAAACAAATTCATTTAAATTATTATATAACATATAAAATATATTTTAAAAGCGTATCTCTTACCGTTTTGGCTAACAAAGTTGCACGATTTTCAACTCTCAAACATTCGAATCTATCATAAAACAATGCCATAGCCCATGGTTCTCGAAAATATGCATAAAAATCCAATATAAGAGAATTCTAATCAAAAGTATACATCAAATTAGAACAAAATTTAATGATAGTTAATAAAAGATAAAGAAAAAAAAAAAAATGAAAGAACATTTACTTTGAAACGATATTTAACTTCGTTCAACATACTGTCATGTTTCCCATACAAAGCAATCATGTGATGTACTTCAAAATTCTATAATAATATTTATAACAAAATAAATTAAAAATTCTAATATATGAATTATATTAATTAAATTATTTCAACATTGTAGTATGAACCTTTTTACTGCAACATGTGATCGATTCAACATAATTTCGAGAATTTATGCGTAAACGAAAATAACCAATTTCTGATAAACAATTACCTGTTATCATAACATCACCCTAATAAATAATACAAATATTTTATTTAATAAAATAATAATAATTATTATAATAATAATAATAATGAAGTATTGGTTTGTTCGGAAAGTAATTTCGTTTCTTCTTGACACAATTTTCGAATTAGTTAATGCAAATTGGCAAATAACAATACGTGAAATCGTTGATAGTTTAAATTTTGTCAAATTTAATTATTTAAATCTACTCGAAAATCCTAAGTTTAAGCTTGAAACAAAAATTGTTTTCATTTTTACAGAAATAAAATGAAATTACTTTCGGAACAATCCAATATATATCATATGATTTGAAATTCTTACATAAAGTGATTGTTTGATGGCAACATCACGAGATAATTTCTTTCCTGGTTTGCTGACATAAAGATAATGATAATCACCAGGTAATACACAGGATACAATGACAGGTGATCGAAATTCTGGTAATAATAAATTTGATGTACTTCTGTCAAAATTATAGTATCTTCCTTTATGTTCTTGATAAATTTCTACCACATTTCGAATAACTTTACCTAGCTATTTGTTCAAATTTTTAATTAGATTCAATAAATATTTAATCAGAAATAAACCACGTGCACGAATTTTTGTAAAAAAATGAACGAGTTGTAAAGTAGGATATTTAAATGATGAACAATTTTGTTAAACAATTTTTTACTAACCCTTTCGCCAATTTCTACGCAATTGTAATACTTGTGTTCGAATAATTCAGCTTGAAATTTTCTCGAGTATTTAGTAATTGTACCAGCTGCGAATACAAATGGGTCGTTGGTACGAAATTGTTGATTTATCACCAGTCTACCATCAAATACTAAACCAGCACGACAAATTGCTGGAATATATATATATATTTTATTTCAGTTATTCTAACCTCAATTTAATTCATTATTTATATTTTACATTTAGAAACTTTTGTTTATCTAATATTAATATTATATAAAAGATAATTATATATTATAACCTAAAAATGAACTGTGTATAATCTATCGAAACAAAAAATGCAAAGATAAATCAAAAGAGTTTCTATTTTATTTCAGTTATTCTAACCTCAAATTAATTCGTTTTTATTTTTGTTTGTATTTTACATTTAGAAACTTTTGTGTTTATCCATTTTATTAATATTAATATATAAAAGATAATTTAAATATGTTTACCTAAAAATGAATTGGTATCAATTTCTTTGTTATTAAAATTGACAAATATGTCACAAGGAATAGTTTTGATTTTTTGTCCAGATCTAACATCGATCGAGATGATTTTTTTCTTATCATTTTGACATTCCTCCGATAAATTCCAATTAATTACGTACCATCCCAAAAGAAGATTTATTTCATTTTTCAAAATGGAATTCATAATCGTTGTATCCACCTTCATAGAAAAATTCATTTATTATTGATCTAAACTATTATCAATAATTTATATTACTGATATTTGTTATAAACAATACAATTGATTTATTTCTTACATACTTCGCAATTATAAAAGAAAACATTGTCGTGAGGATCGCATAATTGTAATTTAGGTTCGATCAAAGTAATCCATGAACCTTTAATTCCATGTTTCAATAATCCATATAGTGCACAATAACAATCAATATTATGACCATAAAATACAATGGCTTCTATAAAAAAAAAAAAAAAACATGTAATCTCAATCATTTTGGAATTTTTGGTAGGGCCGTGGCATAGCAATTCGACCTATCTACTCTAATTTTGAATTTAGCCACCAGATAACGTATTCAAGTGCTAGAGATTAGGAACCCTATAGGAGGGAAGCCCCATGTACATTGCTGGGGGACAGGAACTCATGTAGTCACGTGATTGCGCGCGAATGATTCAAACGATAGGTCATAGGTTAGGTTTGTACATTTATACTTGTAATTATTAAATGAGTAAATTAAACTTACACATATAGAAAACTACTTAAAATAAATATCACAATAAAAACTAGTATTCCAAACTTAACACGTTCACGCCGGCGCGTACCACCGGTGGCCCGCATTAGACTGTCTCATCGGGCNTAAAAAAAAAAAAAAAAAAAACAATTAAATATAAATATCACAATAAAAACTAGTATTCCAAACTTAACACGTTCACGCCGGCGCGTACCACCGGTGGCCCGCATTAGACTGTCTCATCGGGCGGCTTGTACCACCGGTGGCCCGCGCTTGACTGTCCCATCGGGCGGCGCGTACCACCGGTGGTCCATCTTGGTCCAGGTTTGAACAAGCAAAAATCACGCGCCGCCAGATGAAGCGCATCTTAGATTTGAGTGCCGCCCCACAGAGCAGACAGTGAAAATCGGCGCCGGCGTCAATGTGTTAAACTAACCACAGCCGTTAATACATACTGAAGATAAACATGGCTGCGCGATGTAACGGAAGCTGTCTACTAGAGATCCCAATATTTTGATATTTGTTATTATAAATAATATCTTACTTTTATCTTTGAAATTATTGATCAATGATTTAATTATTTTCAATGAAACGTACTTAATCAATCATATATTTTTATAATGGTTATTATATAATTAATAATATTAATAATATCTTACTTTTATCTTGAAAATTATTGGTCAATGATTTAATTTTTTTCAATGAAACGTATGCTTCAACATCATCGTTAATTGTCAAACAATTCCAAATTATTTCCGATTTTGTAATATTCCTATACGAAAATATAAATAATAATAATAATAATAATAATAATATATGAATATAAAATAATATTCGATGAATAAAATTGAAAGGTGTACTCCATCTTTTGGGTCTCCATTTTTTTATCTCTGAACAATGTCTTTTGATATTGAAGACCGCAAGTTAATATTAAAAAGTCGTAACTTAAATTTCCTTGATCCATTACAGTCACGTATTTATCCTTCCTGTTGTAGAAACATGTTGTACATATTAAACAAAAAAAAACAAACAAAAAATAAACACAAAGTAACGAAGGTTAACTTTACAACATGAACAATGAAATGTTCTAATGTTATGTTTATTACCTATTAATTGCAATTAATGTTCCATAAACTACATTAATCCAAGCACGTCTTGTAATAAGGTGTCGATAATCTTGACAATATTTTCCTTTAAATGGTAACATTGAATCAGATTTAAGATCATTATGTTTCTTTTCGTATGGCAATCCATTCGGTGATATCAAAGTTAAATTTGTAAAGTGGACAAAATTTTGTTGATACCTTTGACGAATATTATTATTAAAAATTACGTTTTATAATAAAATTATATTTTATATATATATAATTTAAAATTATATAATTATAAAATTATGTTATAATTATTTTCAAAGATATTAATATAAAAAGAAAAAAAAAGTAATAATAATAATAGTAATTTTTGTTATATTTAAATTTATTGACCCTAATGCTAATTAAAATTATTATAATTAAATAAATTCAATATTATAATTAAAGATTATATTTTTAAAATATTTATACAAAAATAAAATAAAAAGAAAAAAAAAACAACAGCAACAACAATAATAACAATTTGTTATTGGGATCTCTGGCGTGGGAGTGGCGTAGCAATTCGATCTGTCTACTCTAATTTTAAATTTAGCCACCAGATAGCGTATTCAAGTGCTACAGTTCCCAATATTCAATAAAATTGATTTGCTAATTATAATTATGAAAATTAAATAAATTAAATATAATAAAATTAAAAATTATATTATAATTATTTTCATAAATATTTATACAAAAAATAGAAAACAATAATAATTTGTTATATTTCAATAAATTTACCCTAATGCTAAAAATTCGACTAATGCAATGCCACAATCTGAACCACCCACAACGACTATCTTCGTATCAATGATTTTATTTGTTATCGTTGCAATTCTTGGTGTTATCATAAAAAGAGAATATACTTTGTTATTATTATTATTATTTTTACGTATTTCATCAATCTCATTATTCGTCGAAGAACATGTACAAAATTTGTATTCTATTCTTTTACGATGATTAACTGGGACCATGGTGTTCAAACAAGAAACCAATGGTTGTGTTCTAGTCTAAAAAAAAAAACGTGTGAATTTGTTAGCATCATTTCATTATTATTATTATTATTATTATTATTATTATTATTATTATCGTTATTATCGAAGCTTTATTAAAACTATAATGATCTATAGTTGTTCTAATTATCTACGATTCATTTTCTTTCTCATACTTTGTTTGTTAAAGGTAAGAAACTTAACAAGGTAAAAAAAAAAGAACTCACGAGTGAACTTCCTTCTTCCTCGTAAAGACGATAATAAAGTACTGTAAAATCATTTAATCGTAGTATTTCACAAAAGAAATATCTCTGATTGGTCGAAAATATTGGCATTAGTACGAAATGTAATAAACAACCATAACTATCGTTATTAATATATTTTCTCGTGATAAAATCTTCTACGTGAAAGTGTTTTTTCAGTTCTTCGTGATCCTTTTCAATACTAAAAAATATTGAAAAAGATGAGAATAAGAAAAAAAAAAAAAAAACCATTTTTTAAATAATATACAAGTGTGATAAATGTTTATTATTTAATTACCAGACAATTGCTAAACCAATGATAGTATTATCTGACTTGAAAATATAACTATTAACATGGTTATTGTTATTAATTTGATTTACAGATCGATTAAAATCTTTCATTATGTTATTACTCTTTGGAATATTTATTAAAAATTGTTTAACATCGATTTTGTGAGATAAATCAGCCTTGTATGATTTTATTTCTCCAAAAAGTACCGCTTTGTGTGACAAATACAATGACATTGGAAAATCTTTGTTACATCTCAATGGTACTCGCTATATTTATTTATTATTAATTATTAATTATAAATAAACACATATATATATATATTTTTAAAAATATCTTTAAGTGTAAAATAATTAAATTTTCTTTTTTAAATTAAATAATTTTAAAATCAAATAATTAAATTAAACTGTAAATAATTTTAAAGTTAAATAATTAAATTAAACTGTAAATAATTTTAAA